TGATATGAGTATAGTATGGAGAAGCATAACTGGCCTATAGGAGACCTTCCACAAGGATAAGCTGGCTCTCCATCCCTGAGACCTTTCAGCTTCCTTCAGCTCCTTGCACTTTGCTGCTCACAGCCAAGAAGCTGGAGCAGAGCCATTGGTGGTGCTGCTCTAGAAAATAGGAGAAGGCAAAAAGGGGGTGTGGGGCTAATGGTTTGTTAGCTCCCCTGGGAAACCCAAAGCTAACAGAGGTAGAGTTCATTTGATTTAATGCTCAAAATACTCAGTCATGCCTTGAGGAAGGAATTTTTCCACTTAAAATCGTATTTGTGCCTTGTCCTATCAGCTACTCTATGCCTTCTACAAGGATGCAGTACAATCAGTTACCTTGAAGTTGCAAAGTTATTTAACCCTATTCCAGGACTTGCTAAAAAGTCCTTTAAAGATACAGGGGTTTAGTTCTTATTCCTGACTATCCTTTATTATTTTGTGCCTTCATTTCATAACTGATTTAATGCATATTTTTTCCTTTTGCATTGGACTTTATCTGTAAATTGAGGAGGTAGGAAAAATAATTGCAAAGTAGATCTTTGAAGAGTTGACTGGAGATGGGTGCTACAGAAAGAAAAGATTTTCAATCAATCTAGCGTGTGTCAGGAAATTAATACTTCATTAAAGAAAAAAAATGAGCATTTCAGCTCTATGTGTTTGGTTCCATCGTCACAAAGAAGTGTTTTCATTCTACATTCTCATAACCACTTTCTAACCTTGTAATTCTTATAGCCATCTCTAAATCGTGTTGAAAATTGCTGAAACGTGTTTTTCCTTGAACAGGGATTGCAGCCTCTTTTGCTGTAAAGCTTTTTAAAGCGTGGATGGCAGAGAAAGATGCCAATTCTGTTACCTCTGCTTTAAGAAAAGCCAACCTTGATAAAAGATTGCTAGTAAGTACAATATATTTTCAATAATCCTTTTTTCTCCTTGGGAAAGAGAAAGAAATACAATGCAGATGGGAGTTTGCAGTAAGCATGTTAACTCCCCCTCAGACTCATAATTTTTTAAATATTTTGAATCACAGCAATATTGTTATGGCTGTAGCACTGATACAGGTTCAGGAATATTAAATATCACATGATTTTACATTCTGTCTGTTTTTCCTGTAGTCAGATGCCATCTGAAATACTGTCTATATGGGGCTTGGGAATTAAATGAGTTTTTTTCTAAGCACTGCTAACAAAACACACACCACCAGCAGCTGTGCATGAGGATTTGTATTTTGTTGAAATATGTTTTACTTTTGTAAATAACAAAGTATAAAGGGTTATAAGTAAGTTTCCAAAGTGACAGTGTTTAAATAGTATAGTGAAAGCACAGCCATCTGGGTAGCATAAATGGTCCTGCAGTGATCACAGGAGATCTAGCAGGAGCAATGCAGGAAGGCTTTCAGCCTTTGGACTCAAAACCTGTGTTCTGAGTTTGTAGCAATGCCCTGAGGTATTTAGAGTATATATGAATATTCATGAGTCATGTGCCTTTCTCTCTCTCTGTCTTTCTGAAGATGAGTCTTTTTTTTCCTAGTCCTCAAAAAAGATTGCTGCTGTGGTAATCCAATCAATGCACTGCAATCCTGTGTAGCACTGCCTGGAGAATTTCAGCAGTATTTCCTGTTTCTACCTCAATAATTTATGACTAAGCAAGAATCTTCACAAGTGAAGCAGCCTCGCACACCCCTTCATCTCATCAAATTGTATTTGATTTTAAGAGTCCAAGTCATAAATAATTTGCCATAAAGCTGGGAAATGGGCTAATTACACTGTTTATTAGAGAGGGGGAGAAGAGCAAACTGCATCTTCTATTTTGAACTTGATTGACTTAAACTTTCAGCTGTTGGCTCTCATGCTGCTATATTAAACAATTATAAAGCATCAGGTGATGTTGCCTAGCATAGATGCCGTCATGAAAGTTTCCTCTTAATCTCATTGTCAGTCAGTAAACAGATTAAGGGTCTTTAGCTTGTTTGTTAAAAAAACCCAACTCTACCCCACAAATCATTGTTAGACACTAAGAACTGGCTCGTAAGCAAATGCGATTGAATCCTTGCCAAGATGGGACATTTGCTGTAGCAGTTTTTAAGAGTAGTTTTAACTTTTCTAAGTAGCTGGACTTTCATAAATCATAGATTGACAGTGTCTTTGAATTAGCAATGCCTACAGGAGTTAGTGGCAACAGTACAAAGCCAGCTATGTTTTTCCACTGTACTGTACTGTACTAACAGTACAGTGGATTTTGTGGTCTTTGTTAAATGATGCATTAGTGGTGATCATCGCTCATCAGGGGAGCAACATCAGGCCAGAGTGCCTGAGCTACTTACATGTGTGTGGCTAAGCGTATTTCTCCAATGAAGTGGATGCACTGGGAAGGCATGGTAAATGTTCTTCATATATAATGGCTTTACCATGTATTTCTTTGTACTTTCCCTACAAGACTCTTGGAATCTGGCTGGAAAAGGTATAGTTTCTCTGAGGACTGTTTTGAGCAACATCATAAGTACACGCACTTCATGCCGAATGGGTGTTAGCTTTTTTGCATAACTGGCCATAGTTTTTTTCCTCCACTATAATGAAACACAACAATATGAATGAAGTGTTGACTTTTCCAGTGTTGAAGCACTTTATTTTTTTAAGTGCAGTACCAGGTGATTCCCACTGTTCATTCTTAAAAATTGTTCCTTCAGTTCTGTCAAGAGTTGTCATTGCTTATTTATTTAACAGAAAGCATTCCTGTCTTCCTAGGAACTATTTCCAGCCAACCGGCAGAATGTGGACCATTTTGCCAAGTACTTTACTGAAGCAGGTCTAAAAGAGCTCTCAGATTTCCTTAGAGTTCAGCAGTCACTGGGGACTCGTAAAGAACTTCAAAAAGAGCTGCAAGAACGTCTCTCTCAGGAATGCCCAATTAAAGAGGTAAAGAGTGGGGTTTTCCAGCTTTCTGTTTATATGATCATAGTCAAAACCTTAAATCAACACCAGGTAGAGGGGAACAGATATGTGCATCTCACAGATTTCCTCTGATTTTCTTTGAATTATTTTAATGTATTCATCCATTCACTCTGCTTATGATTAAAGCAACAAGACATCCTCTGGATTTACAAGTGCAGCTGACTATGGTTTTCTTGGTTCAGTTATGCTTGATGAGAATGTATTTCATTTAACTGGATTAACTGTTAGGTTGGAGGGGAGGGACAAAATTTATAGTCAAGTTAATAGTAATGTTGCTAAAAAAAGCACGCTAAATGCTTCCTTTTCATTATTCTTGTTCCAATGTTGTTTCTTATTACTTCTATACCATGGTGTTATTTGTAAATGACTGCAAATATTTGATGTCAGCATTGTTTCTGGTTGATCGGAAATGTTGTTTAAGACAGCAGTTTACTTCCTGCTCCAGATAGTGCTTTATGTAAAAGAGGAAATGAAAAGAAATGAGCTGCCAGAGCCAGCGGTGATAGGTCTCCTGTGGACCTGTGTCATGAATGCTGTGGAATGGAACAAGAAGGAAGAGCTGGTTGCAGAGCAAGCCCTCAAACATCTAAAGGTGCGTGTGTGGGTGAAGAGGGGAAGGGCTGCTATGAAGTAACAGAAAACATTCCACTGCTGCCAGGTTTTTGCCTGTTTAAATCCAGGAGATTGAGTGTTTTGAGGGCTGACACTGAGCACACTAAGTACTGTGTATAGTCCCTTCGCCTTTAGTCAAATGAATGCAAAATTGAGATATTTGAGATTATTGAATACCCCAAGGCATATAGCACAGAGAGAGCAAACCGATGTGATCACAGCCTGAGCACATCTGTGTTGTGCTTTCTTGGTATGTCAGATCCTGAGTATCTCCTTACGCTGGGGACAGTGCTAAGCAAATGCTGAGACTCAGCGCTGCTCACACCTTACTAAGGTAAGGCTGCAGGAACTGTCTTTGCCAGAAGCAAAGAAGTTTTGGGAGCATGGTGAGGCGGCACCTGTGCTTGTTTTGCACAAGCAGGACTGCTGAGTTCAGAATCTGTGAAATGATCGTTGCCTGTGTTGACTGTGGGAGCTGGATACTCAGCAACTTGTCAAATAATAACCCAGGATCTGGCTTGAGAGCATGTGGACTGTATAGTGTAGTTACTGTCTGATCCAGGCACTGACCTTGTGGAAGAGGGAACTGAATACATAGGAAGACAGGCTGCAGTTTGCTAAGATTACAGATCGCAGTATCACAGTTGGATCTTGGTACAGAAACTCTAATGACCTGGAAGTGGGGAAAAAAACCACCATCCCAAACCTAAAAACAATGCAGAGACATGAGAGTCATTGCTATGGTTGGTATTACTCATCTGAGTCAGAAGGAATTGCAATACAAGACAGTTGAACTGAGAACAGAGACTTTTCAGCAGAATTACTCTTTTTAAGCTGCGAACCATGACCAAGAGAATACTCCCTCATAGTCAGGGCTACAAAGATTTGCCCTAGGACAGAAGCCAGCTATACTTTATGGTTAAATGAATGTTAAGCTTGATCTGAATTCCTTTCTTTCTCATATTGGATGCCTCTCCATACTTGGATTTCCCATGTTGGTTTAGCTGCTACTACTGCTGTCCTTTCATCTGAATTTGGTTTCCCAGTCAGTCATCCTAGACATGTAGTCACTTGGGATCTTGTGCAGTCTTTGATGATAAAACTGAATGCCTTGAAGTCTTTTCAAGTGACCCAAATAGCAGTAGAAGGAGGAGATAGTTTCCAGAAGGGGGGGGGAGACATTGTTTTTCTTGTTCTTTTGATGTAAAAATTGATCATATCTTATTGAGTTGTAACAGAGTATCCATTGAGATTTATTGTCTAGTACTGCAGGGCAAATCAACAAACACTTTTTGGAGTATTTGAGCATTGGGAAAAGAAACATAGCTGGCTTTGTACAAATATTGTTGTCTCGATGACTAGTCCTATGCATCTCACTGACCCAGTGTATGTAGCTATGTACGTAACCCCACTAAATGAAGTAAGGGATCTTGCCTATATCAGGTAGGCATCCTTCCAGCTACAGCCACTTTCCAAAAACAGAGGATGAGTTTGTATGTGGTATTTTTTATTTGCACTTAGAGGAAAGATTTTAACAGAAGCAGTAGAAATAGAAATTTAGGCTTTGCTAGTTGCTGTTTTACATTTCAGTGCTCAGAAATGAACAGCATTTCTTTCACATCCTTCTGTGGATAGGTGGTGACAGATCTTGGATTCCTCAGTTTGAGCTCTCAGCTGACCCAGTGTGTGAGCCAACTTCAGAAGTCGGTTTAACACTGTTAATGTGACACAGAGCTTAGTTCCCATGTCTTTGTGTGTTGACATGCCCTGAAACAATCCGGCATTGTTTCACCCTGGTGGCATGGATCAAGATGCCTATAAATACGTGGTTGACACAGGACATGCCAGGTGGTGGGATTTCTTGTGCATGGCTGTACCTGGCAGATAACTTTCACAAAGCACAGTTTCCAAAGTTTTGACATCTGGATACAAGGCTCTTTGATTTATTGGATTTCTTTTAATAAGCTGTATACGAGGCACCCCTGAAAAGATGTATAAAGGCACAGAATCACACAATCAGCCAGATTAGAAAAGTCCAACCACTACACCATGACTGCCAAGTCCATCACTAAACCATGTCACTGAGGGCCTCATCTACATGCTTTTTGAAACCTTCCAGGGACAGTGATTCCACCGCTTCCCTGGACAGCCTGTTCCAATGCCTGATCATCCTTGTGGTGAAGAAACTTCTCCTAATATCTGGTCTGTTACCTCTTGTGCTATCACTTGTTACTTGAGAGAAGTTTTCCTTTCAGGCAGTTGTCAAGAGCGGTAAGGTACTCCCCCGAGCCTTCTCTATTGACCTCTAGTTCACAGTTCTTAACAAACCTTACTGAATGGGTGGCTTCCTAATGCAGGTGGTGAGCAGCCATGAACCGGCGTGCCCAGTGCAGTAAATGTGATGTGTGCCATTCATATGGCAGGGCTGGCGAGAGCTGAACTGCAGAGGAAATGGGGCAAGCTGTTAAACCCTGAATCTTACAGGGTAAGCTCCTCGTTGTCCCAGTAACCTCACTGTGACACTGGGGCTTAGCCCTTAGGTCACCTCCAGAGCAGAGAAGGGATATTCCCCATGGGTGTGAAGAATCCTCCAGACAAGTTGCACTGCAAGCCAGGCTGTGGTGTGAGCTTCATGACCCTGCAGCTGCTGACCTGCTGTTGTTACCTAACCTGGGGCAATGGAAAGTCATGCCAATTAGTTCAGCCAGCAGTGGGAGAAAGCTAATTTTATGGTTCCTTAGTCAGTTAAACACTTGTGAAACTTACAGTTGTAAGTCTGGACCAGTTGTGCAGTGAAAGGAATGTGAAGGGAGTCAGTTGGATGTGGCAAAATGAAGGTATCTTACTTCTAAATTGAAAACACAGGATTTTGATTATTAATTCCTTAACACTTATGGACAGCAGCACTTCACAAACCTATGGATGGAGTGGGTTCTGCTGAGGCTATTAGACAAACAAACTGCAGTGTGTATTGCCCTGCCTCCCTGGTGCTTGCCTAGATACCAGCTGGAAACTCCAAGGGCAAAAATAGGAAGAAGAGGGAGTCCCGCTGCCCAAAGCCTGCACAAGTTTTGTAGCGCTTTTACTGAAACAGTAACATTGTTTCTAAAGATGTGGCTATTCCTGCCAGATGTGGAAAGGCATCTGTGGTGTTAGCTACATCTAGTCATTTCTCATAGTTACTTTGTAAGGGAGTTTCTTCCAGAAGTACTAATATTATCCACCTACCTAGCTGCTCTTGTTACAGTTGCAGTGTGATTCCTTGATCTCTCTGTCATAAAATTAATAGCTGATAATTATTTTGTAAAAGACATTCTGGACAAACCTTTCAAATTTCAGTTGATTTTCAGATTTTTTAATATTTTTTTTCCATGGGTCATGTTTAGTAAATCTCTTGGGATTTGGCCTCTTGTAGAGAAGTCCTGAAGTGTACGTACTTTTGAACGTGCCCTTCAGTGCTGTGGCGGCAAGTGTTTTGTTACCACCACATCCATCTGCAGCCCTGGTCACACAGGCCAGAAAAACATCAAATTGAGAGTGTTACTACAAACCATAGAATCATAGAATGGTTTGGTTTGGAAAAGACCTTAAAATCATCTAGTTCCAACCCTGTGCCATGGGCAGGGGCGCCTCACCCTAGACTTGTCCAGCCTGGCCTTGAAAAAAGGCTGAGCTGCTCAGTGCAAGAACAATTTAAATACTAATCTTAATATATGTTTAGCCAGGGGCTCTGCAGACCAAAGGTGATTTGTCTTCCCTTCAGTTCTGAAAAATGCTTTTAATATTACCTTAAATTTAAGACTGCAGTCTTAGCTGGACTCGTCACAGGCTAAGAGAAAAGGAAATTAGGAGATATGGATAGAAATATTGTCATTTTTAAGGAAAGAATGAACAAGATAGAGTCCTTTAATGTCATTTTTATTTTTAAGAGCTGAAATAAGAGGGGGAAAAATTACATAAAAAGGAAGTTTTTGGTTTATCTTAATAAATTCCAGGAAAAGACAATGAAATGTACTGCTACTGTTAATACTGCTAATGTTAACATGTGAAAATGTTTATCAAAGCAAAGGTTGTCATGATACCCTGATGGTGTTAACGAGAAAAAAATCATGACACTTGATGACAGTTAATCTGGACTAATTTAATTTCATTTCCTGGGACTTCTGAAATGCCTGTGAAACAAGAGATTTATATTTTCATGCAGTTCATCCTTGGATGTCTTACTTTATGAACATCAATAAATATCACTCTTGGATTAGCAGCATGCTACCTTGTGAAGTGTACAAACAGCAGTACTCGAAAATGTGGACTTTGTAAGTTAGTTTTACAAAATTCAGTATCTGTAAGTGGTACTGAAATTTAGCTCACAGCATGCACATCTTACAAAAGCTCAGGGATGTTTATGTATATGTGTTGTATGCATTTAAGTAAATGCAATTGGCAAGTAAACCTAGGGATTTTGGAATTAAATTGATGCATACATTAAAAATTTGCATTAGTTTATTTCCTTTTTCATTATACTAACATGCATTTTGTCTTTCACCTTCTCTTCCTTTTAGCAATATGCCCCTCTGCTTGCTGTGTTCAGCACTCAAGGCCAGTCAGAGTTGATTCTTCTCCAGAAGGTGCAAGAATACTGTTACGACAACATCCACTTCATGAAAGCCTTTCAGAAGATCGTGGTACTCTTCTATAAAGGTAAAAGTCTATATCCCCTGTTGTATCCTGTGTGTAGATTCTCTATGCCAACCACTCACCTATGACATTACAGAAAATTGACGTTCTCTGGGTATTGCATATGAGAAGGTTGTGTTGGAGCTGAACTCTGGAATAACCTTATGCTTTGATAGTTCAAACCAGTGTGTGGCAGCAGGAAAAGCGAAACAAGCCCTTCTCTCTTTGTTGCACTTATCCCATAGTCAAGAAGCATAAGCAGGATCCACACACTGCGCACAGTCTGTTGAAGTGCAGCTTAGTCCTTGTAGAAAAACAGTTCTAAGAAGACATTTCTGTACATTCCTGGCAGATTTAGAAGTAGATTACAGCTATGCTTTAAGAAACCTGGGAAGTGCAATCCCTTTTGGCAGGAAGATTTTACGGTTTGGGGTGGTGGGTTGTTTTTTCATTTGTTTGTTGTTTTATTGGGTTTTTTTGTTCCTCCCTCCCTGCCAGAAAAAGCTTCCCTTATTGTTCTTTCCCCTTTCCTTTCCTTACCCATTCCTGGCAGGTGCCATAGTTTGACAGATTTAATTTTTATTGTGAAATTGACTTCTTCACAAGTTTATTCTGATCAGGTTGTCATAGAGACTAATGGTCTTGCACTGCATGACGGGTGCCAAACGGTTTGTTCTGACATCCTTGCTATAAATAGTTGAAGGAGAAAAATCAGCAGGAGCAGAAACCCAATACTGATCTTTGTTCACCCTGTTGTGTCCAGGTATATGTTCAAGGCAAACAAGTTCAGACTGTTGAAATAATTTCATGGTTTCAGAAGGAAGTGAATTATGTGGGTTTATTTCCATCCTTGTGTCAATATAGCATGGCTTCAGTGATCAAATGAAAAAGCAATACACTTTGTCCCTCTGCCCTCAAATTCTACGATTCATAAACACTGCTAATGACCAAGGACAAACTTGAAACTGAAAACTGCAGCAAGCACTTTATTCAGTTTTCTTTGGAGAAGAAAATTCACTGTGGACATGGTGAATGAGCACTGTAATTGCTGTGCACTCAGACCAGAAGTGATGGTTAAACCAGGAATAGTCTTGTGTAGGATTCCCATCAAAATTTTGGTAAATTCATTACTGCCTTAGGCTGCAGGGGTAACCCTGACATTCCAAAGTATTTTAAAAAAAGAAAATAAATCACTAAATTGTAAGTTTAATCTACCATGCTCCAAGAACCCAGTTCCCATGTACTCCACTTACCCCATGAGCTCTTGCTCTGACTCTGGAGATCTACTCGGGCAAGCTTGTTAGGGTGAGAAGGCTTTAGCCTCAGCGCTACAGGTGCCACAATATCGTTTAGGATTTGCATAATACCTAGAAGAGTGTTTGGAGCTACCGTATGGCCTGTGGGTAGAAGCTGTGAGTTTAGCATGTCCAGCATGTGCAATACTTGCTGTCCCGCTGTTCCTGCCTGGAATATCTTGGGCAAGCACGCCAGAGCACCTGCCTCTGCCATCTGATGCAGTCATGCAGTGGCACAGCTGCCAGCCCTTCTTGGCCATGCTTAGGCTGAAGCTGGATTGGCAGACCTGCTGCTGCCTGTTTGGCAACTGCTTGCCTGGCTTTACAGCAACTAGCTGTAGCTCCCTTCTGAGCTCTGGACACAGTAAGGAAGTTGTCAGCTCTGTCTGCCTAAGGCAGTTGTAGATTTAAACAGTGTCCATTAAGTAGAGACATATTATGGCATTAACCAGGGAAGATTCTGGGAGCACCAGTCCTCCATTTCCTGTTTCTCCCACATTATGTTATCGAATTTTAACAGCTCATGGCTTTGGCTTGTCCAGAGCCATGCTGCCTGCCTCCTCTTTGTTTCAGTACTGGTAGATCTCACCCTCTCCTTCTCCCCAGTTTATATCTATCCACTTGAAACATGCCATAACGTCTTTAGAGAGACACACTTCATTGTTGCCAATAACAGCATATCTTCTGTTTCCTAAGTCAAGGAAAACAGCCCCCAAACAGTTGTTTGGCTGTGTCAGTGGTGAGGGAACAGCAGAAGCACGTGTTTCCCTTTCTGTTGTGCTTCAAGGGTAACCTGCACAGGATCTGGAAAGGTTTCAGGGTACCTGATGTGCTTTTTTTTAGTGAGAAATATAGGCATCTGAAGTATCAGTGGATGGGCAGACAGAAATGCAGCTATCTACCAGCATGAATATGGTCAGTGTATTGCTTATTACTTATTATGAAGGAGTGCTTCCTGGGCATGAAAATAGTCATCAATGATGGTAGGCACCAAATGCCACTCATGCTTTGACATATTTAATTTTATGACTACTCTCAACAGCATGTCCAACATCTTGCATTTAAGTCCTTCCCATGCTTCCATCATAAAATAGCCCTTACTTCTATGGGAATTACCTGAAAATAGCTAAACATACTAACAGGAATGATGGGGCTTATTAGCACCTATAAGGTCTTTGAAAGCCTGTGGTGTTGTTCTGGGTTTTTCACAATCCTGTCTCTAAATGAGGAATATCCACTTTTCCCTTAATGAAAGCCCAAGCCCTGTTTTCCCTTATGTGGTAGCAGCTTCTCACCAGCTTGTAAATATTATTTGCAAAAGCAGTTCTCTAGTCAGCTAAAGCTTGTTGACATTATAATATTATATCTTTGTGTGCCCAGTACAGTATAGAGAAAAATAAGCTGTCCACTTTTTTACTGATCTCTGGCTATAATGTTGCTTTTCTGGTCATCACTTAAAGCCAGTGCAA